TTGTATTTGGATTATATATTGTATTATAAATATCCTTACCTGTTTTAAAAAGATGAGCAGTTCAGAAAATCAATTTTACAACTATTTGATTTAGCAAAAACCAATAGTCACATTTACTGATTACATCTAAATGGTCTGTGCTTGCAGTTTCAAAATGTTTGTTAGGATTTAAGTTTTTATTTATTTAAATAAACAGAAAATGTAAATGGTAACCATCATCTGCCTTTCCAGTGGTCTTCCAGGTCAGCTGTCTTCTGCCGTGATATCAGCCACAGTTCGAGATGCCTCCAAGGGTCAAACTATTCCTGCTTCAGTCCAGTACACCCTCTCTTCTTCACACATGGTACACTCTGTTGCTCTGGGGGGTCTCACACAGTACTATCATATCATATCAATAAAGTTCTGAGATGGCTCAGTGTTCAGTTCTCGGATATCAAAATCCTGAGGCTGTGGGTTCAAATCCAGGTTAAGTCAGGAAGAGCATCCAAATCTGTCATACAACTTTGATCTCTGTAGCAACCACTGCAAAGTTCATGCTCAATAATAATCCAGGTAAAAATCCAACAATGTTCAGTCAGGTCACCTGAACGTTTTTTTATTTTTTTTCTGAGACATTTCATCCTTCATTGTAAACTTTGGTTTATTTAAATAATGATTGTAATCGCTGGATGTACGGCCCCCAAGCTGTTGGCTTTCAGAAACTGTGGCCCCCTGAGCAGTTTTGTTGAATATCCCTGACATGATCAGCTGGTGTGTTATTTCTGACTTTCTGTTGTGTGCAGAGAAGTTAAACCAACACAAACCTGTCTTTTTTTGTCTGTAGGCAGAGTATTCACATAAAGTTACTCCTGTTTGTGCCTTTTGGAATTTCAGCCTGATGTAAGTTTGACCAACAGCAAGCTCCCATAATCTGCCCTGATATTTTATCTGTTAAAAAATACAACATTTTCTGTAGTAATAACACAAATCTGATTGTTTTAGTATTTGTTTGTAAGACTTATATTTTTTGCCAAGTTGTATGTCTTTTATTCATCAGATATGGCAGATCAGAATATAGTATGCACTATATATGAAACTATGCTTAATAGAAAAATGCAGTGAGAGTATTGTGATGTGAATTTGCTTTGTTGTCCAGACATACTCAAACACATGGCTGGTCCAACGATGGCTGCTCGGTGATCTTTGTCAGCTCTGGCGTCACTTCCTGTCAGTGCAACCACACTACCAACTTTGCAGTCTTGATGAATTATCTTGAACCTAAGGTAACAGATCTTTAGTATAGTAAATGAATAGATCACAAAGTACCGGCATGATCTCAAGAAGAACAGTTTTATGCTTGTTTGGAAGACGGATAAGTATGAATGTCTAGAAAATTATTTTTATTGTGATATTATCAAGATTAAAGCAATGATTTTTTTTCTTTATAAATAAAAATATTTTATAACTAATGACATTTAAATTAAATCCAGGTTAAATCAGTGAGGTAATAGTGAATAGGACTTGCAGCACACTTGCTGTGTATGTGCAGTTAATATGCTGAATGTTTTTGCATCAACTTTTTATTTCCAACTAAATGTATAAAAAAAAGAACGAGTTAAGCCGTCACTCATTCACTGTTGCCAGTGGCATTTTATTTTTGTTATGAATGTTTGAAATGTCCATATAAATTAGGCTAAAAGGGAGGGGCTTACTGTTTTTGAGAAGGTCTTTGTGAGATGAAACGTGTGACTACTTGTTAACCTCCTCTGCGAATAGAACTACAGCCATGTCTTATTTTAAGTATGCAACTTTTTTTCTTTGTTTTTAGTGGAGTCTTGAAGATGAGCTCATTTTGACCAAGTTGACGTTCATCGGATCTGGTGCATCTCTGTGCGCCCTGATGGTGACCTTGATGCTCTTCACTGTGCTGGAGTGAGTAGATCACTCTCCCGTCTTAACCAGCATGCACACAATTTCGTTCCACCACATTTACCACACGTGGTGCAAATGACAAATAAAGAAACTCTGGCTCTGACAGCATGCAAATGAGTTACAGTTTTGTTGTCAGAAGCAACAAACGCAACTCATATATATAAAAAATACAATTAATTAATTATTATAATTAATTAATTGATTATTGGGTTATATCACAAGAGGTTTTGTTGTTGTTAATTGCTTTTATTATTTGAAGGAAAAGTAAATGCCTTCAATCTGCTGAAATAACCTGTGACAATTTAGAATGTGCCATTCATTAAGAAAACCATCAGAGACACTGGGATAGCCTACTGGCACTGTGGTCCCTCCTCTTCTGTCCCGAAGGCTGCTGTAGTATTGACTTGTGCTAATTACAGTTGTCTACACGTGCATATGCTCTAAAGGTTTATGGTGGAATGCTGCAGCTGGTAATTAACATTACGGTCACTGAGGGATCACGATCAGCTTCCCTAACAATTTATGATTGTCCTAAAAACAGTGTGCAACCCTTCATCTCTCACATGCTGGTGTATGATGTTTATGTAAATTTACAAACAACAACAGACAACGCTTAAATGCACCAAACCAAATATTTGCTTTCTCCCTGTGAAATTACAATTACCGGTACTTCAAGCAGCAATGCATAGATGTCATTAGCCTAATAGGGTGAAACCTTTGAGAGCTAATTAAAGCTTTTTAAGTTAATTTTCCTATCAGCCAGCTTTAGTGTCTTCATATGTCAGAACTGACCAGTGCATGCACTGCAAGGTTGCTTTTTGGTTGAATTGCATATGCTCTTTGTGCATGTATGGGCTTTCTTTGATGTGTTCTTATTTGAAGGTGCCATAAACCCAGTTACAAGAGCATGATCTAGTTGTTTTTTAACAGAAACACATCTGAATGTAGTTCAGCATGCAAACACTGATATCCAACTTGTTTTCTAATGTTATTTAAGTTATTATATCTTGCATAATAAAACTGCTGACAGCAAATGTTACAAAAAAGGATCAGTATGGCTATTTGATCAGTAAACGAGTTCATATCTGAAAAGGGCTGGAGACAACAGACAAAAATATCAGATGGGATTTATTGAAATTTTCTTTTCATCCACTTTTTTCTACACCTATATTTCAGAGCTAAGACACAATTATGTTTTTTCTATAGACATGAACCTATTAAATGGTTCAACCTGCACCTGCATGTATACATTTTTTCATTACATCAAGAATGACAGAAAATTGCCCTCCAAATTCAATTTTAATGAATTATTTTATTTAATTACTTTTTAAGTTCCTTAAGGTAGAGGGGGACATTGCAATGTATACACTGGTGTGTCAAAAGATCAATCTTTGACTGGATTCTGGAGGAGACAGGAAGCCAGTGAAGAGAATGAAGGACTGATGTGATGTTCTCATGTTTTTTTAGTTTTTGTTGTCTAGCAGCGTTGTTCTGAATGAAATGGGACTTTGAAGGTTTTTATTTAAGATGCCAAAAATAATTGAATTGCAACAGTCCAGCCTTGAAGACACAAAGGCATGGACAATTTTTTTTTTTTTTCTGCATCAAGCCGATATATTGATGAGCTGAGACTTGCAATGTTTTTTAGGTTTAAAAAAGAAGGTTTTACACAAGTGTTAAACATTGAAGTCAAGGGAAAGGCGACGGTCAACACTTCCTACTTTTTTGGTGTCATGTATTTAAAAAGTTAATGATGTGAAAAGGATAAATTTGGCAATCTTATAACCTCAGGACTATGATGAAGTACAAGAATCTCACTGCTTCAGTGCTACAAATTTGGCTCCCAAATTGCTCAGATACAAGTAACAACAAAAATGACAATATCTTAATAACAATAACAAATAAAATAAAAATAACCCAAATTTCTTAACCATGCTATGAAAATCAGTCTTTTTGTCCATTTCTGGTATCTCTTTGTTCTGTTATGCTGTCTTATCAGACATTACACATCTGTGACATTGTCCTTGTTTGTCTTTACAGTATTCCCAAATCAGACAGGACATCCACTCATAAAAACCTCTGCATAGCTCTGATCTGTGCCCAGGTGATTCTGCTCTGCAGTGGCTCAGCCATTCACAGTAAGGTACTGTACACAAAATAACTTGTCTGCTTTTCAGTGTAATAGAGCATATGTGAAAATAGTGGTTGTTGTTTTTAAAAGTCAAATACACATTCAGAAGAGATTAAATAACATTATGACAACTGGTGTTGGAATGTGATGTGACACTGACGAACACAGCCGTTGTCTCCATCTGCTGCAACACTTAATTTAGTCTTGAGTGGTCTCTCATTGGACTGTAGATTCTTTGAGCCAACCTGGTCTTTGACCCCAAAGTCATGTCAGACTGGGCTTTACCTCTTGTGTGGGAGAGGGCACTTGCTGCTTGTTTTAGACAATGCTAGCTTTAAACCAGTTCAACACTTGTTTCTAAAGCAACATATATCATTCAAATTCAAACTCATGTTTCTGTAAGGTTTAGCTCTAGTATGCAACCAAGAACAACGAATCCAGGAGAAAGTTTAACAGTGTTTCTTTAGAATGAGTGAATGAATCTGCACAATATGAAGGATCAGCAAGGCGGAACTGGAACCCTGGAGAGAAAGGGACAATGTTAGTTGGAGTCTTCTTCTTGAATGTTGGTTTTGATGTTAATGTTTGTCCTCACTGTAAGTAGGTGGAGCTGTCGCAGAGGCAAAATCCCAAAAGTTTCCAATGGCGAGGAGTGAGGAGATTCCAAGAGGTTGCATGCAAATGATGGTCAGAAGGCAAGGAATGGCTGGAGAGATCACAAGGAGGTTCAGGACAACCAGGAAGGTCTTAAGGCTCAGGAGGATCACAGGAGTCAAGCTACAACACATCGATTCAAAGATTAGATTTCACAATACACAGGGAGTAAAGTAAAGGCCAGGAACACAACTATCGATTGGCAGATAATGCACCAACGTCAGACTGCAGTCATCAACTGCCTTAAGGACTCCTGCAGCTCATTAAGCAAATGGTTCTCAGGTGTGGATCAGTTGTTGCCCTCTTGTGTAGGAGAGCTGCAAGAGAAAAAGCTGGAACTCCTACAACATAGAGCTGCATTCGGGCCTAAAAGATCGGCCTGACCCGAACTGGTAGTTTTTTTTTTTTTTCGAGCCCGACCCAGACCCGCAGGATTAACTTGAATTGCAGGCCTGACCCCCCCCCCCCCCCCCCCCACAATTTTTCTTAAATTAAGCTGTACAGCTTTTGTAAGCAAATCAGTTTGACATGAAGGTTTTAAAAACACATTTCATAGAAAGGAATATATAAGATTTCTTGTTTCACCAAATGGATATTAACATACAAAACGAATAGCCTAAAAAAAAAAAAAACTCTAAAGATGGGCTATTATACAGATGAAGATAAAAAAATTAGAGCAAATTTTTTTGGGAAAAAATATAGAACAAGGATATTTTGATTGAACAAGCTGCTCACTTTGGCTTTTGTAGATGCTGCTACTTCACTGCAGATGACAGCAGGTGTGGAGACGCGTGCGGCCAGTTGACAAGCTGATCCATCTGAGCTTAGCTGGACTTTTTTTTTTTACCTCTTTCAACTGGATGGTCAGACCTTCCTCCTCCTCAACAAGTAGATTAACACAATTTTATACTGTGCATTATTATTTAGTTTTCTTTGTGCTGTATAATTCATAAAACCGCACCACAGCCTGAGACTGTCACGGCCCACATGTCCAGCATATTATTTTGGCCCGGCCCCAATTTTGGATTTTGGGTTAGAAATGACAGCTCTACTACAGCTTCCTTGCCTCCTCTTCTCCATCTTACCTGATTACTTCTGGCTCTTCTGCAGTTCATGATGCCGCCATGTCCTGTGCTCCAGATGAGCCAGGCACATCGGGCTTGTCTCCAGGACAGGTGTTCAGTACTTTGTCTATACAGCCGTTTCCAAAAGCAGGACCAAGAAAAACAACTGGCAGGATCAGGAATAAAAGGCAGTCTGAAATACTCACCGATACACAAGTGAAACAAGCATCGATGGAGGAAAAACAGAGAAGAAGAAGCAAAAATGTAAGAAAGAGCATCTTGGGAAAGAATAAAGGCAAGCAAAAGATAAAGAGAAAGCCCTCCAAGAAAATGTTGAAAGCAAATACTGAGGATTCTGAAACCTTAGATGTTGAAAACCTTTGTGATGTCTGAATGGAGCTGTTTGGCAACTCAAAGCCAAAGGAAGTGTGGGTAAAATGTTCCCCATGCAGTCTCTGGACCCACCAAGCCTGCACTCCAGGGTTACCAACATTCGTTTGTCACCACTGTGGCTCTGATTAAGGAAATAGGCCTACACACATAGACACACACATTTATATTGTTTATTTATTTGACCAACATGTTCTTTACACAGGCACATTGAAGCAGAGTGTTCATTAAGCATCCATATTGTTAAGGAAGTTTGTTCTAGTAGTCCTACACTATTTTACACACACGCACACACTCTTGTTACAACCTACCCCAGTAGTGCGGTAGCTTGTAACAAAGGACAATTATGAAGTTGACATCAACTCACGAGGTCTGTGGAAATCTTGCAGAGCTTTGCATTGGTGCCATTTGTAGAAAACAAACTTTGTATAAAAGTTTGAGAAGTTTAGCTAAAAAATTCAACGAGTTACAGGTGCTGAAGCAAAAAGTGTTACAACCATACCCGGTCTCCCCTACATTATATCTTCCAACACAGTTCTTAGTTTATCCAAATGATTAAAGTAAAACCTTTTGGTTTGTTTGAAGGTGGGATGCACACTGGTTGCTGCGCTGCTCCATCTCTTCTTCATGGCAGCTTTTAGCTGGATGCTGGTGGAAGGTCTGTTGCTCTGGAGCAAAGTAGTAGCAGTCAACCTGAGCGAGGACCATCACATGAAGTATTACTATCTCATCGGCTGGGGTACTATGGCTTGATAACCCCAAATATTTATGCAAATAAATCTGTAAAGTAATTAACTTGTCAGTAGAATTAGAGGTACTTTTAATATCAGCATTATTTTAAACTTATTTTATCCCTTTCAATAAATGTTTTATTGATTTTTCTCTTATTCCATCTAGGTCTGCCGGTGCTGATAGTTACGATCACGCTAGCATCGGCCTCAGAGAAATACTCAGCTGATGAATACTGTTGGCTCAGTGTCCAGAATGGCATCATCTGGGGCTTTGTCGGGCCTGTCATCTTTATCATTATGGTGAGCAATTTATAGTTCAGTTCGTCCGTGTTCTCATTTCTAAACGGCTTACAGCTGTTGTGTTTCTGACGTGTACATGCTCAGATTTTAGTTTTGACCATCAACGTTTATGGTGTCAATGAAACATAAAATGGCATCACGTTGTATAAATGTTGGATTAAAGTAGAATTGTTTTTCACAAGTTGCTGTTTTTGTTACACATTATTGTTGTGATTTCTGAAACCTTTGAAATATGACTGCAATTTTGTCCTTCTTTATTTTATTTTCTCACTTTTTCCCCTAAACCTTTTCACGTCTTTGTGCCCCTTTGCTCTGTTAAATTGCCTGCTATGACAACGGCCACTTCTCAAATCAGAGCTCGCCTGTTTGTTTTTCAGGTGAATATCTTGGTGCTGACCAGGGTGGTGATCATCACCATCTCCACAGCTAAAAGAAGGTCCATCATGCTTGCTTTGGGCACGAGTCCTGTTGAGCAAGCCTATGACCAAATCAGGTAGTGACCACTAGGAGGCGACATTTATTTTCTTTTAAAATGAATGAGGCCGCCTGGCGTCCAAAACAGATTTGGTTGCAGGTTGATTTTATTTTATAGCTCTATTCAATGAACAAATTAGAGGTTTATTTTATATAGAGTGCATTAGTGGTATATTTGGACTTGTATTGCTAATTGGTTGTATTGTTTTAGGATGGAATGTCTAAACGTCATATTTTTTTTCTTTTTAATCATTGCTTCAAATAATTTAGGCAGTTTATGCGTTACTAATATAGTTAAAAATTGTTTAAATATGCTTTTTGGTATTTTATTACATTTTGTGGAGGCCACATGTTTTGTGTAAACTAATATTTTTGCAGTTATTCAAATTTCTTCTCTCCTATATAATTTATTTATCTAAAAATATGTTTCAGTAATTTAAATTAAATAATTTTTTTGGAATGCTGTAATCCAATTAGATTAAATTTTGATACATTTTATATATTTGACTAGAAATGTGTTTAGATTAAATTATGTGCATATCCTATATGCATTTTTTTAAACACGTATTATGCTTCAGAAACTTTATTTTTTTTTGGCATCACATTTTCTTTTATTTGCTTTTTGTTTTTGTTTTTCACCCCTCTGTTTATTGATCATCTTTACGTTTGCTCATAGAAAATAGACAATCCTGTCTACTAGATGTAGTCCCAGCGATAAAAATGATGTTTGCAGATGTGCAGTTTTTTCTTATTATTATTTGTCACTGCTTGAACCCACTGAGGTGCATAAAAGACTGTAAGGGTTTTCAAAGCAGCCCTTGAACCATCTGGGACCCCTGGGTGATGGCAGTCTAGGAAAGTCCTGTACATTCCTCCAAAGAGTAGGCCTCATTGCATGACCTGTCACAAACGCACAGAGACAGCTGTTGTGGTCTGGCAGTCACCTGAGCAGGAAACTTATTCCCCTCTAAAGAGAATTAAGTTGGACTGAATGTGGAAAGTTGTCACCTCATGAGCCTTCCTGCCCACAGAGTTTTGTATATGAACCATCCTGCCAGAACTGCTTCGTTCTGTCCAAAAGGACTTGGGAGCTAAAAAACAAAATAACTGGGCTCAGTCTGATTAAAGAAAAATCAGAATACTTGCATACATTTTCCATACTCTTGTCTAGGTTAAACAAACATTTATTTTGTTCAGATCTTTCCCAATTTGAATTTTCCAGTACCAGCTTATAAAATCTGATCTTTCAATTAATGTTGTTTATGTGAAGAGCTTAAACCATATTTGTTCTGCTTGGATAATTACCCCCCCCCCCCCCACCACCCACACTTCTTAATCATAAAAAGTTGTTGTCAGAATTAGTTTAAGAAATCAGTGGCAAAATTCATTCTAACACGTTTGCAAATCAAATATTCACTTTTTTTTTTAACCTTATGAGTGTTTTCTTGCACATATTAATAATCTGTTTGTTTTATCTTTCTAAATATATACTTTAGTTTGTTTTTATGTGTGCACAGGGCTGCAGTGAAAGCAGTGTTGGTGTTGCTGCCGATCCTCGGACTGACGTGGCTGTGTGGAGTTTTAGTGCCATTTTCCATAGTCATGGCCTACCTCTTCATCCTCCTCAATTCCCTACAGGTACACATGCACACTTGTGCTCGCAAGAACACACACTGCAAATCTTCCCTCACTGATTCCAAGAAATAGCAGAGAAAATGCAACAAACTGCACGTCCCAAGGTTCTGTGCTCCAGGTTTTACAAAAAAGAAAGTTTTTGTCTCACAAAACATTCATTCATTTTATATGTGTGTGGAAGTGTGATCGATTATGTGATCAATTATCTTTTATAAGCATTCAGGATCTCTGGGACAATAATTGTGCATGAATGAAGGAAAAAATCTGCAGTAAAAATTTAAACTATTATTTGTACAATCTGTGGTTTAAACATAAATGTAGGTGTGACACCACAAAATTATACTTAAAACCTCTTTGTGAGTCATATACTCTCATCAGTCACAACATTAAAACTATTCATTTACTAAATCAAGTTGCCATGCCAGCACGGTGGTGCAACTGGTAGAGCTGCTGCCTCTCAGCGAGCAGGTCCTTGGTTCAAACCCCGGTCCAGGGGCCTTTCTGGGTGGAGTTTGCATGTTCTCTCCGTGCATGCGTGGGTTTTCTCCAGGTGCTCCGGTTTCCTCCCACAGACCAAAAACATGCATGTTAGGCTGATTGGTAAATTGTCCCTAGGTGTGAGTGAGAGAGTGAACGGTTGTTTGTCTCGTTTGTTTCTATGTGGCCCTGTGATGGACTTGCGACCCGTCCAGAGTGTACCCCGCCCCTCGCACAGTGATTGCTGGACATGGGCACCAGCGACCCCCGTGACCCAAAATGGAATAAGCGGGTAAAGATAATGGATGGATGGAAGTTGCCATGCCATATTTTACCCATTTGACCTTGCTGCAGGTTAACAATGTGACAGATTAAACACTTTTTCCAGAAGCAATGCCTCCAAATGCGTAAAAGGAGAATTAACATACTTTTTCTATTCTGCATTAACTTTGTGTTCATACAGTCAAACAATACATAAAATGACCAAATATGAAATGTTGTTGCTGTTTTTTTTGTTACCTTTTACTTTTAGCCATCCTATTTGTTAAAAAAAACAACAACAAAAAAACACGAGTATGACTTTTTATAATTGTTTATTGTTGTCGCTGTTGTTCATTGTTGTCATCATTCTTTGTTGAAATCAGTTCTCTCTTGTAAATGAGTCCTCGGGGCTCAATAGGATTTACCTGTCTAAATAAAGGTTGAATGAATGAAATCCCTGGTGATCTTAGGTATCTTACAATTATCGAACCTATAATCACATAGTTTGTTTTTCAATAAATAATTGTCAAATCTATTTGACAATATCAACTGATAGATATTTAAAGAAAACATTCAGACATTTCATTTTCAATTTTTCACTTCTGTTCAAACTTATCCTTAAGCCTCTGTTCAGTCTTTTTGGGTCCATCCATCCATCCATTATCTTTTACCCACTTCTTCCATTTTGGGTCATAGGAGTCGCTGGTGCCCATGTCCAGCGGTCACTGTGCGAGGGGTGGGGTACACCCTGGACGGGTCGTAGGTCCATCACAGGGACACACGGAGACAAACGAGACAAACAACCATTCACTCTCTCACTCACACCTAGGGACAATTTAGAGTTACAATCAGTCTAACATGCTTGTTTTTGGCCTGTGGGAGGAAACCGGAGTACCTGGAGAAAACCCATGCATGCACAGAGAGAGCATGCAGGCTCCATCCAGAGGGGCCCCCGGACCGGGGTTTGAACCCAGGACCTCTTCGCTGAGAGGCAGCAGCTCTACCAGTTGTGCCACCGTGCTGCCCCTCTTTTAAGGTCATCCATCCATCCATCCATCCATCCATTATCTTTACCCGTTTATTCCATTTTGGGTCACGGGGGTCGCTGGTGCCCATGTCCAGCAATCACTGTGCAAGGGGCGGGGTACACCCTGGACAGGTCGCAAGTCCATCACAGGGCCACATAGAGACAAACAACCATGCACTCTCTCACTCACACCTAGGGACAATTTAGAGTTACCAATCAGCCTAACATGCACGTTTTTGGTCTGTGGGAGGAAACCGGAGTACCCGGAGAAAACCCACGCATGCACAGAGAGAACATGCAAACTCCACCCAGAAGGCCCCTGGACCGGGGTTTGAACCAGGGACCTGTTCGCTGAGAGGCAGCAGCTCTACCAGTTGCGCCACCGTGCTGCCCTCTTTTAAGGTCAATCAACATTAATTGATTTCTGTTCGAGTCAGATTTAAGAAAATTTATACCCATGTAGTACTTGTGTAAAACAAACTATTTGACCAAACCTAACATAAAACATCTGTTTGTATGAAGAGCAAGAAGATGACAACTGTGCAACAACTTGTAGCTCAAAGTCACAATTAAAAAGTTTCTGTCCATCAGTCAAAAACAGAAAGGATTTCAATTATACATGGTTCTCTACAGTTCACGATACAAAAAATATAATAAAATAAAAGCTGTCCGGGTTTTTATTTGTCAGTACCAAGGCTGATGCAAAAAGGGAACTGACATCTGGCTTCTGTCAAAAATATCATTTTAACAAGGAGTGGGTTTGCATTGTTTTTTGATTTGTCTGTATAGGTTTTTTTATTTATTTATTTTTGCTTTAGAAGTCAAAGGTCTGCAATATTGTTTATATACAAAACCATACAACTAAAAACTAATGTTTTAATGCATTACATATGTTTTTTTTTTATCTTATTTTAGTACTAGATGTATATGTTGTACAAATGTGCATGATCTCTTTATGAAAAATGTCCCATAGAAAATCATCAAGACTTTCAGAAAAATTGTTGCTTTTTCGTGTTTTTTTTACTCCACGACCTATGAATAAAATGTGGGCATGATTATTTCACTGCAGCAGGCAGCCAGGGGTTCCTCTGCTTCCCCTGCATTTCTACATCTGCTTTTGCAAGTCTTTTAATCAGGCCTATCTTTAATTGAGCTGTATATTTAACAGGAAAATCAATAGAAGCTTAGCTACACTCTGATCATTAAGCCAGATCTCTTGGCTGCCATAAATAGTTTCTCATATCTAATTATATTTTTTACTTGTCAGCAGTAATTAAGATGTTGGATTTTACTGGGTTCTTGTTGTACAACTGCTAAACATGTTAATATGGAATATGGATTGCTACTTTATTTCATGCATATTTCTGTCTGCAGCTGTCCATTCAGCTCATCTTCTCTATCCTCTTTTGATTCTTCAGCCTGCCTGGCAGTTAATTTCACTATTTTAATTTGTATGTATGTATGTATGTATGTATGTATGTATGTATGTATGTATGTATGTGTGTGTGTGTGTGTGTGTGTGTGTGTGTGTGTGTGTGTGTGTGTGT